AATTTATTGAATAAAATTAATATTTTATTTTATTTTATTGTGCATTTCTATCAGGTCATGCATGATCTGTTCAAATTATGTAATACTCTGTGATTGTGTCACAGTGCAGTTTGCCGGATCGTTAGGAAAACTCACTGTCTCCAGTGTGAACAATCCAAGGAAAATGATTGATGCCGTGGTGACCACTCGCAGTGATGATGAGGTCAGCACTCTTTCCCCTCACCCCTTTAACATGGACTCTTTTTATAAAACCACTTATGAGGCTGTTCATGATATGCATTTTTTGGTTACTTATGAGTGGACCTACACCATTTTTTTTTCTTTTTTCAAAAATGCAAAAAACAACTCTCTGGTCCTAGTAATACATTTTTATTCTTGAATAAAGGGTTTATTCAAAAGGTGCATGTTATTGTAGTACGGTTTCTTTGTACCAATGTTCTTTTGTCATTTTTCAGGAAAAAAGGGAAAAGCAAGTGTGGAACAAAAGACGGCAAATCCTTTACACTGTGGAGAAGGTACGAGTGGAGAGAAGTAAAGCTTTTGTAGCCATAGTATTTTTATTCTGATTCAGGTGATTGATTAATTCAACAAAAAAAAGACCAAATTATTATTAGTCCTAATTTAGGGCTCAATGCTAAGGATTTTTTCTACCAGTCAGTTAAGTGGTTCGGATTTATTTTTCCTGCCAAAATTTTCACTGGCCACAAATAAGTAAACAAATTGTTGCTCTTTTCATTGTTTTTGCCCTATGTAACCTTGTATTCTAATAAATAAGGTTATGTATGACACAAACATTTTAGATACCAGTGAAATTTCACAATTCCCAATAATTTGATACCACAGCAATTAACTATTAGCCTTACTAGAATAAAGTTCAAACATTAAAGATGAGTAAACAGTCAGTAATAAAATAAGAATAAATAAACAAATAACATGCAATAGCACAAATAATACAATATAGAATAATTCAATAGAGCTTCAGGTGTGTGTACACAGAAAATCAGACAGCAATAGAATAACAAATCGAGTTATCTTTTGCATCTCCTTTTGCTTGAATGGTTTAAAATCACTTGAATGTTTAATTGGCAAGACTTAAAAATGTGTAAATGGACAACAAATAATAATACAATATAACCTGTATATTTTGTTATGCAGATGTACAGTCTACTATTAGAAGTGCAAGACTTTGAGAAGAAGTTCTTGCAGACCCCTGAGCACCAAAGAGATGCCCTGCTAGAACAGCATAAAACCCACACAGTGCAGCTCTACAACTCCCTCCGAGAAAAAGAGTGGGATGACCGGTGAGTGCGACAGGAAGGGCCACATGAGTACAGGCCTGTTTGATTCACAGTGGCCCTCAGATGAGTGACGAGACTTCTTAAACAAATCAAAGTGCAGTCCTGGATCTTTAGACTGAAATTCAGGACTTTTCGGCTATTTTTGAATGAGCAAAAAGCGAAACATGTAGCAATGTCTACCTAGTTGAGAAATAGTTTTATGATCATATTTTGAAATAAACGTGCTTGTTAAACAGGATAGTTTGCTGTAGTCAAGAACTGCGTGAAATCACTGATATTGGTATTAACTACTGAAGGTTTGTGATTGTAATGACCTACTTTCCTTCCTTCTGCAGAGTGAGCGATGAGCAGTGCTTGATGATCATGTCTGTGCGTAAGGGGAAACGCCTTATCTCCAGACTCCTCCCTTTCCTGCCACAGCCCCACGCTGCTGCTGTTGTCATGGGAATAGCCAGGAACCTTCCAGCCCTGGCCAAGAAAGACAAACAAGACCAGGTACGATCACAGACGAGTGGGTCTTTGTGTGCTCTCAGTGAAGAGAATAAGATGTGGCAAGTTCTATAGGTTATGATTAGCGCTAGGCAAAGGAGTCAATTTTTAGCCTAAGCTTTCCTGTCAATATGGGGTGCTGTGTGTACATTAATGAGGAAAAAAAATTTACTTAAATGATTTTAGCAAATGGCTGCAATATAACAAAGAGTGAAAAATTTAAGGGGGTCTGAATACTTTCCGTACCCACTGTATATATATATTATATATTTTTTATTAATTTTTTTTTTAACAAAGTCATAACATCATTTATACATGTATATGCAAAAATTGCACTTCTGTTTTAGAGCTGGTAACATTTATATACATATCAAATTTTAGTTATTTATATATTTAATATATGCATGCATGAACTTTTGATTAAAGTAAGCATTTTTTGCAAATATATAAGCACAAATATAACATGAATACTCTGTATCATTCAGTCCTAGAAGACATAATGTTTGGTTTTTGTGTTCAGTGTAAGATAGATGTGATCAGATGAAGGAAAAAAGGAATAGATCAGGTCATTTAGGCCTTTCATTTAGATTGACTTGTCTTTTTTTTCAGGATCACAGCCGATGGCAGTTGTTGAGAGACTGACTGTTAATGTATTTGTGAATGAGCAGTTTATGTGTGATATGTGTTGGAGGGTGAGGCCAGGTCAATTTTCCTTTCTTGTTATAAGAGTCACAATAGGTAAGAATAATGTTTAAATGGTAATAAACTGTTGTCCATAGGTTTGTCAATAAAGGCGATCAGGTATATGTATTTTAGCTTCCATTAGGGTCAGCTCTGAGCAGAGGAGCCAGGAAAGGGACCTCGGCGTGTGGCGACGTTTCCCTGTGAAATGGCTCAATCATGACAACATTCGACCTTATTTATAGGCACACAGATTTGAGGATAATTGTGCTGTACATTAATATCTTAATTTTTCTTATACACTGCAGCTTGATGTATGTTTGCAAAAGAGTGACTGTGCAAGTGTGTCTGTGAGTTTAAACAAAGGTATTCTTCATTTTTAAATATCTTGACATGATGTCTGTGATAAACATGAAATTAAAACTTTCTATTATACAAAGATTGGTTTTGTAGTGTTTTGGTCTTAGTGGAGTTTCCTATACATCTGGAAAACCTTTCTAAAAGTTATCTAATATAGGTTAACTATTCCTTTAAACACATTTTCCTCCCAAATTCTCACTATTATATTGCATGCAAAAAAAATAGTTTTTTTTTTTTTACCCTAGAAAAACTATATCTCCAAGAAGTGACAAGTATTAAGAATCCACATCATAATAAACTAAAATTACAATCTTAATCAACATACTATTTTTTCCCTTATAGTGTGTTATAAAATATCACGCTCTCTGCCAAATATCTCTTGAGTTTTTCTTCTCTTTCTCTTGTCCCTATCTTTAATTCCATACATGTGCATATATGTATATCTTCTCAGGAGTTCAATGTTAAGATGGTGGTTGGGCTCAAGAGTGCTCAAGGTTATTGAGTTCAGTCCGGTTGGAGTACAGGGTGCAGAAACTTCCAGAACTTCCTGTCCATATTCCCATCTTATATGACACACATATGTAATGCTTATATTCTATTGGATGAAAGGTCTATAAACTATATAAAAGTCTATATAAACTATTGTATGAGACAATAAAATCGAAGGAAGGTCATATTCAGATCTTGTGTCTGTTTGCCTACTTCAGGGGACTGAGAATATTCTGGTGGCAACGAGAAATAACGAGACTTATTTTTAACACCGTGATAATTTCTTTGTACTTATTTTTTATTTTTTTTGGCCTGTAGGTCTTCATTTCTTTGTGCAGAGCAGACTTTTTCTCTTGAGAGAAAACTCTTCTCACACAAGCTGATAAGCGTCTGATTCCCTTCAAGGTCATAACTGTTGTCAACGGAGGAAATTGCCGTCTCTTTTGCTTAGACCTTGAAAGTGTTTTTCTCAGAGCTTTGCTAAAGACACAATATCTCTGCTCGTTTTTATCATCTGTCTCTTGCCAGCTTCATGCTGCTTGGTTTGAATAAACGAATTGGCCTATCACAATAAATGGGCTACAACAAAATACACAGTGTATAACAATACATCTGGCTTCTGCAGGTTTTATTGTGGGAAAAAAGTGTCATTTATCTTTTCCCTCCATAGTCAGGGTGCTGCAGCAAAGTGATATATAATGAGAGCAATTCTTCCAGCCATCTTATCAGCTGACCTTCATGATACACACATTCTTAGAGCATCCACTTGCACTATAAGAGCCTTTTTAGAACCCAAATGTTAGTTGAGGGATTTGCAAGTATTTAAAAGTTATTTATAATTTTAATTCATTTTTAATTATAATAATAATTATTCTAACCCCCGTAAACATAAACTTATTTTTAATCCACGTTTCACGTTGCTCATAATTTACCTGTGATTAACAATTAATCCATTTATATGATAACGTTTTAGAGGTAAGAATAAAATGGTCTCTTCATTCCAATTCAGGTGTTTTTGACTGTTTACAAGCAGTGTTTCTGCGACTGTCCAAACTAGTGCCTGAATATTAGGCGGGTGTTTGGGTGAACTATCCCTTTAAGCGCAGTGTGAAAAACCCTATTTACTCAGATTCTACCCAGTCTGTCCAACTAACAAAAGGTCTCTAGTGACAGAATGGTTGAATAAACGTATGTGACCCTGGAGCACAAAACCAGTCTTAAGTCGCTGGGGTATATTTGTAGCAATAGCCAAAAATACATTGTATGGGTCAAAATTATCGATTTTTCTTTTATGCCAAAAATCATTAGGATATTAAGTAAAGATCATGTTCCATGAAGATATTTTGTAAATTTCCTACTGTAAATATATCAAAACTTAATTTTTGATTAGTAATATGCATTGCTAAGAACTTAATTTGCACAACTTTAAAGGCGATTTTCTCAGTATTTTGATTTTTTTGCACCCTCAGATTCCAGATATACAAATAGTTGTATCTCGGCCAAATATTGTCCTATCAAACCATACATCAATGGAAAGCTTATTTATTCAGAGTTCAGATGATGTATAAATCTCATTTTCAAAAAATTGACCTTTGTGACTGGTTTTGTTGTCCAGGGTCACATACATATAGTGCCCTTCTTTTACAACAAATACCCAGACAAGTCTGCAGTTTTTTGTTTTTTTTTTGCTTGTATTTATTCACAGATGAGAGGAACAGAGCGACACAACGGCCAAAGCACAAAAATACTGAGGTTACATGTTTGCTTCATGACAATTTCTGTCTGTAGATGAGCACATCTTTCTGTTACTAAGCATATAAATTTTCTACTGTTATTCAGCTAATCTAGACTACTAAATCTAATGCGAACTTGTTCCAGCTGGTGCTTGTTTCAGTCAGTGCACTTTTGCGCTGTACATCTCAAGAGACTTTCCCTGCAACTTTTCTTTCCTCCCAAATGATTTCAGAGTATGGTACAGATACAGACACAGTTTCGGGATGGGGTGTCAGTCTCTGCGGAATCATTATCATACGCTGCTGTGTAAGTAAGACTCAACTTAAGCATCTGGAAAGCTGGCTTCTGATAGCCAATGGTCAGGAGAAAGTCATCTGGATTCGGGAATGATCTGATTATCTTCAGGAGCCTCCTGGAGATATGAAATGTGGCGTATGGATCAAAACTTGACTGATCTTTGTGCGTGGTCACGTAAATTTTCCCAAACCTCCACTGTCCGTGAGCGGTGACAATGATGCGATCCGCGTTGCTGTCGTCTTGCTGGCCGGTGTTGTGTTCCTTGATGTAGTTTGGCAGCATATCAGCTCCTGGTGAATTCAGATCGCCCAGCAAGTAGTAAGGAAAGTTCACATCTGGAAGAAGTTTCCCTTTACGTTTAGTGCATCTGTTCTCAAAGAGGTGAAAGCCAAAGTCTTCCTTCGTGGGGTCACACGCCAGAAACATGTTGTCGCCTTTAACCCAAATACAGTCTTTAGCAAACCAGAACAAGAGCTTGAGTCCATGTCTGGGCCAAGGCTGACCGAATCCACACTCTTTTAGCTGGGGTATAGTTGTGATTTTTTTCGGAAAGGGATTCATCTGATGGAGATACGAAGATAAAATGTTACTTATTAAATAATAATGCATCATTTAAAAATGTAAGGGCTTTGAAGCAGGCGTTTGAAATCAACATTCAAAACCACTAAGACATTGTTTTACAGTGCGTAATTTGACATCTTATAAGCACTTTAAAATACTTGTACATGGTCTTTTCAAACTCAACGTCATAAATCAATACCCAAGAAGGCAGACTTTGTTATAAAATATAGAGGTCAATTTATTGATTGCAATTAGTTTCTCTAGCAACTGTGAGCAACTAAGTGTGGAAATTTCCTCCGTTGACAACAGTTTTGACCTTGAAGGGAATCAGACGCTTATCAGCTTGTGTGAGAAGACAGTTCTCAAGCAGTTACAGAGAAAAAGTCTGCTCTGCACAAAGAAATGAAGACATCGAGGCCCAAAAATAAAAAATTAGTACAAAGAAATTATCACTATAAGAGAAAACATAATGATATATTTATTAATAATGTGATTTTTGTTTATTATGATGGCGTATAACCTACAAATACTCTATAAAAGTTAAAGTACAAATATGAAAATGTTTTTCAATCAAGGCAATATCAGCGATGGTTCTGGTGCCGGAGATGTCACTGTCATCATCCCAGATATTTACTTCCTGCATACTACTTATACATTTCCTCTAATACATGTTTTCTTCTCAACTTTGAGCATAAATAAGTAGAGTGACGTGGAGCGGTCTCATCCTTATATTTTTGACCTCAAATTCAGCTCCATACAGCCGCTTCTGCACACACATAAAACTCTGCAATGCCTTAGAAATCTGCACATCGAATATGATACAGAAGGCTCTATGAGGTTACAACTTCAAGTTAATATTTGACAAATTCCCTTTGTGTCAACTAGCCCCGGTTCTAAATTTCTGAACTTTATAAATGGAGCGCTTATTAATGTAGCACACCTAAAATTCATCACACATGACTGATCTTGCAAGAATCAAATAGTAGAAGTAACAACCGAAATAACTCTTTGAGTGTAAACAGAAAAATAAGTAAATAGAATAAAACCCAAAGGCTATACTGTACCTCTTTGGTATCAAATATAGTTATAGTTGCAGAAATCTTCTCTTCTGTGTTGATGTTTTGTTAGCAGGAGTGAAGCAGAGGAAGAAGAGAAGCTCATTTTGGGGGGAAACAAAAGCAATTGTAAGTGGGTGTGTCTTATGGGTGTGTCCTATAACTTTTGTTTAATTTGGATAGGTTATTGACTAAGGTGAAATATGTACTTTAAAAATATGTGAAATAGAATGCATTTACTAATAAACATTTTAAACTGTAGTCATGATAGTCACACTGGAAATGGAAGGTCAAGTTATTTTGAATGTTATTTTGTACTATTTGAATAAATTTTAAATGTAACTGATTTCTGTGCTGCAAAGCTGAATTTTCAGCATCATTACTCCAGTCTTCAGTGTCACATGATCCTTCAGAAATCATTCTAATATGCTGATTTGCCGCTCATTAAACATTTCTTATTATTGTCAATGTTGAAAACAGTTGTGCTGCTATATATTTTTGTGGAAACCATGATCTTTTTTTTCCAGGATTCTTTAATAAAAGGAAGTTTAAAAGAACAGCATTTATTTGAAATGGAAATATTTTGTAACATTATACGTCTATATCTGGTGTAGTTTAACAAGAATAATATCCAGTGTAAAGTTGAAATACATCATATAATGACAGTAAAGTCTTGTTAACAAACAAGCAATAAAATTTAGACAAATATAAGATAGAATACGGCACCTGTAGTTCAATATTTTGACTAAATATTACGAGGGCATTTGTATTTAAAAAATAATAATAATAATGATTTGCACGGATAAATCATCTATAAGAAACAACGCACTAGCCATTAAAAATTGTGTGACAATTTCTATTTCATGGTGACTTTAATATCAAATCTTAAAGTTTTACATTTGCTTCCTCTAAATGTTGAATATTTGTTTACAATTCAAAAAAACGTGATGCTCAGCATAATAAATATATAAAGGCAAGCATTTACATGTATTTAAATGATTCTATCCAAAATTTGGTAGCAAAACACACAGCAGTTAACTAAACTTTCTTTGCTATTTTTAAAAGAAAGAAGAAAACAGCAAATAAGAGCACACAAATCAATGTGCAAATCAGCCCAGGGCTGCAATCCTGTGTGTGCTGTGATTGGTTAGCTGGGCCAGTGTGTGTTGTGA